CATCGTGGAGGTGTACGCGGGCGTGGTGCTCGCCTGCGTCGTCGTCAGCAACCACCCGCCGGGCCTCTGGCTCGCGCACCCAGACGTCTTCCGCAACCCGCACGGCACCATCGTGCGCCCGCTCGAGCCGCTCTTCCCGGGCCAGAAGGTGTTGCTGCTACCCGAGACCACAGTGCGCCGGCTCCAGCGCGACATCCCCGAGGGCTCTGTCGGGGCCAACCCCGACCACGACGATCGCGAGGACGAGGAGGCGGAAGTGGTCGGCGGCAGAGATGGCTTGCAGGTGCACACGAGGTGTTTGTAGAAATGCCAAAGAAAGAGAGAGAGAGGAGGAGGAAGAGGGTTGACGTGTGGGCCCCATTTATAACGGCCAACCTGACTTGTGTGCCCATCCAGTCAGAAAGGCGTTTAGAAGAGGCGAATCGGGCACATTCCCGACATGGTAGTTTTTAGTCACTAATTAGCAAAAAAAGTGGTAGTTTTTGGCACAAATTCATAAAGTGGTAGTTTCTGGACATGTTTCCATGAAATGTGGTAGTTTTTGGTTAAATACTCCGCTGGCAGCCTCCTCTTGCGCTGCATAGAAGGCACCATGGCGAGAACCTTTCCTAAAAAAGAAAAAAAAAGAGAACCATGGCGAGAACAGGAGATAACAGTATGACACCATGCCTTCTCCTGCTATTGCCGCAATTTCGAGCCTCATAAACTAACCAACATTTTGTTTTTAAGGATATATACGGCGAGGCTCCGTTTGGTTCCACTCAGCTGCGAGGTCGGGGGAGGGGGGGCTTCCATTGAAAATCACGCCGACTACAGTCATGACGAACGATGGCGGCGTCTATGACGTCGTTCCCTTCTCGAGGCATCATTGTTACAGGTCGCAGCACCACGTTCGGGATGCTCGGGGGGAAACCCTAGAACTGGGTCTTTCCGGATCGGACGATGAGGGCATCTTCAATATCGTTCTCCCTTCTCGGGGCATTGTTTTGAAGCAGGTGCTAACTGGAAGGGCCCAGTGGTCGAGTCCACATCGACGGTGGCAAATCTTGACGACGTGGCGCAGTGGAGTCTCGGCGTCTGATGCGGGTCGACGGACTCGCGCAGGAGGGTGCCGTTGTTTGGCGTCATGGTGGCATTGACGGCAGGCCTAGAAAGGTCGATGCGTCTGTTCCTATTCTGAAGATGGACCGGTGGAAGATGGCGGCCGCCGCCTCTGAGAGTGCACCGGACCAATGTGTGCCCCAGCCCCGGCATTGTGGCTTGGTTGAGGCCTCCGACTTTAGATGTTAGGCTTTAATGCGAAGTCTATTTGGTATATTAGGCTCGGACTATCGACACCATCTCATCAAGTGGATAGGAGTAGCGACAGATGTTGCCGATGTGGCCAAGCCAATACAATATTTGAGTTTGTGTATGCTGTTAAAGTGACAAGAAAACAAACAGTGTGGTTGCTCTACAGTAGAGACCTCGCTAGATCTTCTGGTATACTTGTCACTGCATTTTATAAATTTAACACGGAAATGTGATTCAGAAAATACTTAGACATAATATCGATTCAGAATTCATAATAGGACGTTAATACACAAGTTTCACCACTGACATTGCAACACATCAAACTATTTAGCAAAGCCTTCTTACAATTGATGACCACTTCCCTTGCCTGTTCAAGCAAAGAGCATCTCTAACCGATCCTCCATAATCGGTTAGAACAGAATAAATTATGTTTTCCTCTTCTAGGCATCTAACTGATCCCTTATAATGGTTAGATGGGATAATTTATCCTCGATGGCCCTTAAATATAGCCATCCGCCCATCCGTGGATTATATTTTATTGCCTCCATTCTTTCCTACGCTATGCGCCGCTGGACCGCATCCATTCCGGCGCCGCCCTCCTTGCCTCCATTGGCCAGTGGCCACCACACGCCACCGCTGGCACCCGCAGCCCCGCCAAACTTCTACCACCAGATTTCGGTGGGATTTCAGCAATATTTTTTTTAAATATTTTTTGTTCTTTCCATCGTCGCCGGCCCAGGCGACGCCCCTCCTCCTTGTCTCTAGCTCGACGGCTCTCCTCCCGTCGGCCCCATCATCGACACTCGGTTGCACTCCACCGCCTCCCCGATAGCAGCTCCGGGTAGTGATCGAAATGCAGGTCCAAGAGGAGCTCCGCTTCGTCGTGTCCAGATGACGTCGCATGTGCCGGAGTGTGTTCCACCTCCTGCTTGTGCTTTTGGAGGATGGCACGGTCACCGGGGATCTGTTCTTGTACGATGGCGAGGTGGTACTATCCAATCGTCGGCGCTGCCAAAGATGCTCACCATTTATTTAAACAGGAGCATTGGTACAGACGGTCTCAGCACCGCAGTGGTCGCCTTGCCGCTAGGTACTGCCATTGGTCGGCTCTGCGACACGAGGCCACACGATCGAGAGCCACCTTCTAGCGTGCATGTGTGTTGTGTGTGCTACATTGCAAGTGTTCGGCGAAATGCATGAGCCAAATATAAGCTAAAGGATACTTGACTGTATTCTCCTCTAAATTATAGGGGATCGGTTAGAGATGTTCTAAGTACTTTCTAGCAGAGAGCCTTCTTTTTTTTTTCTCACTTCCTTTAACCTTTTTTTTTGTGGGGTAAAAGAGATTTCATGGTGATTCAATCGTACGGCAAAGGAATCTCATGAAGACCAAACCTCAGCCTAATTGTTTGCATTTCATGGTGACCTATTTGAGCTAGGCGATGAGCAACGCTGTTTCCTGCTCGGCGAAATGTGCCAATGAAGTACTGTTTGTCTTGTGCAAGAAGAATTTATGTCTCGCCGATAATAGAGGCCGTCGGGGACCAATTAATCTCCAGCTGCTGGATCATGTTGGTTGCCAGTTCAGAATCAGTTTTGATGGTGGCACGACGCGAAGACGATCAAGCCTTCTTCATCATGGAGGATCATACCAATTTCTTCTGAAACTGCTGATTTGCATTTACTTGCACATGGAAGAAAATAGAAAAGTCCTGGAGGGTCCACATGTACGAACTCTACTCACTAGACCAATAGTTATGGCATGAAACAGTAGATGTGAAACTGTGCACAAACAACAAACAACCATAAATCATGGGTGCATATATATTGTTCCATTGGCACTCATGGAGCCGCAAGCTACGAGTTGATAGACATTTCTGCTGGTATCATATAGGCCAAGAGGGATGCAGGGCAAACGAAAGTAACAGAAAATATGAAATGCATTTGGGATTTGGGAATATGAGACTTGGGGAAATATTCAAACACAAGGAATTTCGTCACCTCTGCGACGCGGTGCCACGCCTCACAATGAGCGCTCGAGCTGGTCACAATGTTTGACATAGATGATGGCAGCATGCCGAGAAACGTAGATAGAGGAGTAGTGGGCGTCGTTTGTGGCGACGACAGTGATAAAATGTCTGCAGGGGCACTTCCACACTGGTTTTCCATGGCACAAGGGACCAGTAACCTATACTGAAATTACTAAGCAGTATGGAAAAGAAGGTCTGTGGTTGATTCAGGCTAGGATGGGCCCATGAGTCCACCCTGTCAGACAGTGGAGTACATTGTTTGATAGCTGGTTTGGCCTGCCTGTATTACCACTTTAGCAAACTATCACTGGTAGAAAAAGGGCCTGTTGTCCCGGTTCGTAAGGGCCTTTTGTCCCGGTTCTGAAACCGGGACTAAAGGGTCGGTACTAATGTCCTGTTCCTTTAGTCCTGGTTCAATCCAGAACCGGGACAGATGGGCCTCCACGTGGCCTGTGCGCGGAGCCCAGGCAGGAGACCCTTTAGTCCCGGTTGGTGGCACCAACCGGGACCAATAGGCATCCACGCGTTAGCATTTCTGTGGCTGGGATTTTTAATTTTTTTTGAAGGGGGGGGGGGTTAGGGGTTTTGGGGGGTTAATTTAGGTGTTTCATATATTGTATTAGCTAGCTATAATTAATAGAGAGAAGTGTCCTCTCTTATGTTCGTGCTTGGTCGACACTACGTACTATACATACGTATAGAGAGGACTAGACACGCTAGCTAGCTAGTAAGCAAACGAAGGAAACAGAAGATCGTCATGAACATATATGCATACAGAGAGAAGTGATATCGACCACCTCTCCTTCTCCGAGAGATTGGTCGAACAACAAGTTCTCGTATATCTATCCGACACTACCGGCTACATATAGACAATAATTATCTCTTACAAATATAATCATACGGACTCAGGGTCCACATAGAATTCTCTATCTTCAGGGATGACGTGGTCAAGAAAGAATGCCGCCAATTCCCCTTGAATTGCTCGCATGCGAGCTGGTGCTAGGAGTTCATCCCGCTTCCGAAACATCTAATTTAAAGAAGGGGGTCAATACATATAAATATGAATGAGTGAAACTCAACACAAATGATGGTAATAAAATAAAATTGTGAATGTTGTTATTTACGTACTTTATATTGTTCGTCAGTGTAGCCCCGCTCACAGGTCGTGTGGCGGATGGACTCGCAAACATAGTATCCATACAAATCATTTCTTTGTTCCTGCCACAACCACTTTACAAGAAACAGAGGTCAATCAAACTGATAAGCAAGAATGCCAAATGGTATTGATGAAACTAGCGCTTGAATGACTAGTAGATGCGCGGAACATGCTACTATAGTACTTACTTTCGGGTGTCTAAATTGCAGCTCCTTCGGCAGTTCCGGAGCTTTTCTGATGAATTTTCTCCAAACCCTGCCGGACAAAGAAAACAATTACTTGATATATCAGGAAATAAACAAAGTTGCTGATATGGTGGATAATGATCGATTTAACTTACTTCTCGAGTATTTGAGTCATGTCCGCATAGTCCTGGGGATCTTTTCGTCTTGAGTCTAAGACGGTTACTAGTCCCTGCTCAAGCTTAATCTCTAGGAGAATATAGTGGAAACTGCACACGCATGCATAACTCATCAATTATATTACTATAACCTTGACTAATATATAAGGGAAACCGAATACGCACAAGACAGTAACACTCACTTGAAGTTGTAAGGAAAGAGTATTATATCTTTGTTTTCATTTATTACCAACGATCGTAGCAAGTTGGCCTCGGTAGCTGCGGCATGAAATTTAACCTGAGTTGCATCTATGAGATATGTGTTAATGAACCCAATATCACCGACTTGTCTTTTCTTCAATTCGGCGATCTTCAATCTGCATAATATAGTGAGGATGATTATAAATACATGCAATGAAAGAGCTGAGCTATATAGAGAGACTTAATGACAGAAGTAGTGCTACTTACAGATAGTAGCAGGCGACCGTTGTTTTATCGAGGGCCAATTGATTGAAAAACTGATAGAACTCCTCAAATGGAACAGGCAACAGTTTAATTCCAACGAGGTCATGCTCCTTTTTAACTTTCACATACAAAGTACTCCTCCCCCCAGAGTCTCTGCAGATTTTCAAGTACCAATGATGCAATCTTCGCATCATCGTTGATAGAGATCTTTCATCTTTGACGAGAGGCTTCCCGTACTCGTATCTTTGTATCTGCACCTCCATGGGTTCATAATGTACATCGTCGGGCAGGTAATCTGCAAGATTGCTATAACCGGGCACCATCCTCGGATCATTAGCGACGTTGTGGCTAGGCACCTTGAGTGGGGGGCACGATTGCTTCGCTTGTTCGCCGAGCTGGGCAATTTGTTTCCCAGCTCGTCGTTCTTTCAGCCTTTGATCACTGACAGTACATCCCGACCGCTCCGCTTCTGCAAATTCCTTTCCAATAATGCGCTCATAGTTTCCTTTCGACGGAGACTTGGGTGGTTTTGTCAGGGCAGCCAGAGTGTTCTTCGCTTTCACCGGATCTACCTTCTCCTCCGGAAGTGGATGTCTCTTTGCTTTCAACCCTTGAAACCAGTCATCCACTTTGGTTCGTGCAATCTCGGCGTTCTCCTCCGGGGTCCTCTCGTATGGTAACTTCTCTGGAGTCTTCAGAGAAGGACCGAATCTGTATGTCCTCCCGCCTCTGGCTGTACTGCTAGACGCTGGCCAAGCAGACGGAGCGGTTGTCTTCTTTACTTGCTTACAAGGCGGAGGAGTAGGACTACGACGCGCCGGAGCAGCCGAAGCGGCGGCAGGTCTCTTCCGCCCTTGCTGACGAGGCGGAGAAGGAGGAGGCTGGCTGCTCGGGCTCGTCCCCGCAGGCGGAGAAGGAGGCGGAGTGCCGCCACGCGCTGGAGAAGGAGCAGGTCGAGTGCCCTGATCGT